GAGTCTTGCTCTGTTGCCCAGGCTGGAGTGCAGTGGCTTGATCCTTGGCCTCCCAGGTTCAAGCAATTCTCCTCACTCAGCCTCCCCAGTAACTGGAATTACAGGTGCATGCCACCACACCTGGCTAATTTATGTATTTTGAGTAGAGATGAGGCTTCACCATGTTGGCCAGGCTGGTCTCAAACTACTGACCTCAAGTGATCTGCCCACCGTGGCCTCCCAAAGTGGTGGAATTACAGGCGTGAGCCACTGTTTCCAGCCTAATTTCACTCAAGTGTATGCTCAAGAGAACTGAAAATGCATGTTCACATAAAAACTTGTACATGAATGTTTATAGCAGCATTATTTATAACTAAAAAATGGAAACAGACTAAATGTCAATAGATAAATATGGCATATCTATACAATAGTATGTTATTTAGCAATGAAAAGGAGTGTTACTGATAATAGCTTCATGCAAAAGTAATTGCAGTTACTTTTGAGCACATATTGTATATTGTATGTTGTGTATTGATTGATAGCTCACATTTCCGTAAAATGTATAAAGCTAAGCTGTGCCCTGACCACCTGGGGCACGTCGGGAGTTTCTGACGCTGTCACAGGAACCGGCACATCTTCAACCTTGGCAAAGTAATTGCAGTTAACTTTTGCACAAACCTAATATAATACATGCTACAACATGGATGAACCTTAAAAACATACTAAAGGAAAGCTGGTCTACTTATATGAAATGTCCAGAAAAGGCAGATCTATAGAAACAGAAAATGGATTAATGGTTGCATAGGACAAATGTTTTGGAGGATGGGGAGTAGCCAATCTTGGCTATGGGGTTCTTTTTGGGAGGATGAAAATGTTCTAAAATTGATTTGGTGATGGTTGCATAAGTCTGTGCATATACTAAAAATAATGGAATTCTACACTTTAAAACGGTGAATTGTTTGATGTGTGAATTATATCTTAATAAAGTAACAGAAACTGAAGGAGAAACAAAAATAAGAAACAACAGGACAATATGAAAAAGAATACTGATAGAGGTCAAGAAATAATTTTTAAAATTTTAGAAATTCATGAAGATTAAAAAGTAAGCAACACAGGAGAAAATAGACACAACCAAGGGAGATTAAAGGGCTAAATATAGGGCTTGGCATGCAGGCTCACGCCTGTAATTCCTAGAACTTTGGAAGGTCAAAGCAGGCAGATCACTTGAGGCCAGGAGTTCAAGACTAGCCTGGCCAAGATGGTGAAACCCTGTCTCTACTAAAAATACAAAAAGTTACCTGGGCATGGTGATGTACATCTGTAATCCAGCTACTCAGGTGGCTGAGGCATTACAATCGCTTCCACCGGGAGGTGGAAGTTGCAGTGAGCTGAGATCATACTACTGCACTCCAGCCTGGATGACAGAGCAAAATCTTATCTCAAAAAATAATAATAAAATAAAGTGTTAAATATAGAACCCAAGCAAAGAAGATTCATCATAGCAGGAGTCCCTGCAGGAGAATACCAAAACAACTGAACA